TACAAAAAATACCTAATCTGCTTTTGGTATTGCCCAAAGTCTTTCTGTCTTAACTCCAACAGACGTCCTACTCAGAGCTACACCAACCTTGGTGGAAGTTGAGTAATCCCCCACAGTGGACTTCTACCTCGGGCACATATGGAGTCCCTCTAGAAAGTACACAAGTGAACGAAAAATGCAGCAGCCTCTTGTCGAAGAGTTGTGTGTGCTGCACAGGGGCCTGCAAGCCCTTGGCAAAGGCTCTAGATGTTCGCACATCTAAAAGGTTGAAGAAATTTGAGATGCAGCACATACGGCTGATGTCACTTTTGCTCAATTACATGTATGAAGGAGTATCCAAACACAAGTATAACCACTTGGCCTTTCTCACTTTCAAAATAAATTAGGTTTCTTTTTATAGTCATTTTCATAAAAATAGTAACACCCAAAAAGAAAAATTAGTTTTACTGTATTTTATTTGACATGGTTGAAGACACAAGAACACTCAAGATACAATCCAGACAAGTTGTGAACAGCTCCAAACATAAGTGAAATCTGAATTTATCTTGCACAGAGGTGAACAAGACCACAATGGTTGGTTTTATAATATAGTTTAAGACTATTTCAAGCAGGTGAGTACTGTGACATTATGCCCAACAACTTTTATACTATTCATCCGCTTAAGCCACTTCATATTCATAAATATGCAGCTTATCTTGGCAATTAAATCTCTGCGATATATGATTAGCGTTCTCATAATAATGCATTAAAACTCCTGTATGTACATATTGGTATATTCATACCAATGTAAACCGTCCTAACCATCACTGCACATTTATCATATTCTAGCACAATTAATCATTCTACCGCAATTAGCTTCTAACTTTCAGCCTAGAGTTAAGTAACTTGGACCCAAATTTGCAAGTCGTTGCTTAGAGCAGAACTTCTGTCAAGGCCTTCTGCTTTCCCTAAGGGTAGCAGGCCTTATCTTTTCAACATTAAGTTGCACAATGTCATCTGACACCCCTTCCAAAAAATGCTCTGCGGGGAATCTCCTGCAAAAGTATCAGAACTACTCTTCTAAAAACGACTAATTTCCTAATAAATTTCATATTAATTTTACAGCCTAACATCCTTTATCAAAACAGGCATCCACATGCCACTTACAATGTAAAGTTGTTTAACTGGGTTATAGACTACAGACCACAGCATAATATTCTACTTACAATTCTAACTCCTTAGAGAGACAAGCTAATTTTCCATTCTTAGATTTAAAGAGGGCAACGAGGAAAGCTGGGAGTTTGTTCAGTAGTTCAGTGCTCTGCAAAGATAAGCTTGCTAGTGTTTTCATCAGACTGAATGAGGAAGTGCAAAAATATGCAAACCACATTTTACAGTTACAGTAGAGTCATTTCAGCAACAAACCCCTGCTTGGATCCAGATGGAATCTTACAAAAGGTGAATAAGAAAGGGCAGAGAATCACTACTGTGCAGGAAACTATGCTTCAGAAGAGCTGCAGAAACTACACTTAGCATTCCCTGCAGACAGGCTGAAAACAGCACAAAAATCATGGGCGATCTTGCAGTTCACCTCCTCTTCGGGGGAGGGAGGGGGTGGTTGCAGCCATTTATTAGACCAAATTCTGTGTTAACCTAAGGCCACTGGAAACAAATCTGTGCAGAATTGGACTGATTCAGCTTAACATAGGATGCAAAGACACTGAAGCCTACTTTTCTTGAAGAATTTTGTCTTTCGGTAGGTGATAGTGGTAGACAGAGACTGGGTCTTACCTGCAGCTACAATAAATCAGTGTTGCCTGTCTTTGGAAAGTAGTTTTGTGTTTGTTTTTTTTTAAACAGATCCTTAATAAAGAAGATCCTTAATAAAACCCCAAAACCTAGTGAAGAAGCTGTATATCCAGATCATAGGATCTAATTTTTAACTTGGTTTTACAGGAGGATTCATCCATTATTATGATGAAACTGCTGGAGATAGAATGGTCACCATCTGAAACAAAGAAATGAAAATCCCAGCAACATACTAGTGCATCAGTGTAATATGCTTAACTGGTATGACTTGCATTGCAGGAAGAATGTTGTATTCTCTGACACACCAACATTTCTTTCCTATTATTATAAGATCAGCCTTTTACATTTCATATCTTACCATCTTTAAAAGCCTATAATTACAGAAGCTGATTGAGAAACTATGTTATTTAAAATTAACAGCTGAATGAAATCAACAGAGGCAAAGAGCATTTTTATACAAGAAAATAGCACTGTAGAAAGAAAGAGTCTGTACAATATTTAAATATTGTATATACATAAAATTATATTGTTCATAACTCATCTTAAAGTTTCTCTTGTTTGTAAACCATGGAAAGCAACACACAAAAAATCCCAGTATTTAGCTTTTAAAGCATTTCGCAGGCAGCAGGAAACTGAATGCTAGCAAGCACACTTTGTAATTATAGAAAGTATCCAGCCGGATACTGTGACTAGCATTCTCCATAGACCTTTTTTCTTCTTTTTTTTTTTAAAGCTGAATTCAGAACAGATTTCACATTCAGCTAGGGAATTCTGCAGGAGACACAGAAAACTCAATGGCGAAATACAGTAGACCAGTTCTGCAGCTCTTTACTGTGGCAAAACTCCAGGCTTAACACAGAAAGCTTAAGTGCAGGATTGGAACATAAATTAGTGAAATAATTGATAAAGCTTTCATCTGCCAAGTGTCACTAATGGATTTAACTCATGCTCAACTTATTAGAAATGAAGGTTTAGTTTAACAATTAACATTGCAAAGTTTCAAAAATGTAATGAATTCCAGCAGGTAATCAGGCAGCTCTGTATAAATGCTCTGGAAGTGTCAGCATTTTAGGGTGATTCTACAGGTTAGTACCAGTCTGCCAATTTGGAGTGGGATTTGGATTTGAATCTGAAGCTGTCTGTTCATGGCAGATACAGATTGTAGTTTCAGAAGTTATCCACCTGTAGCATTTTGCAAAATAAAAACTGTTCCAGTTGCAGAAGAAATTTTCCAGGTGAACATGCTTAAGAAAACATTTCCAGAAAGTCATTATTTGGAAAACAAGACCATCATTGTATTTCACCTGCGTTAGAGCTGTGTGCTCATAGCCATGTAAGGAATGCTTTATTTAATGCTATTTGTAGTTTCATTCTCTTGACTTCTGCCTTCCACTTTACTGGCCTTTAAACTCAACCCAGAAATATATTTTACTCAATTAAAATGTTTGCTACTCAAAATATATTACAGTACTTCTGATCTGGACATTTTCTCTTTTAAGCTGTTTAAATCTTCCTGGACAGCCATCATCTAATTGTACTTCCAAATCTTAACACAGGGATTAACAAGAAAAGAAATATAATCACTTGGAGAAGTGCTTGATAAACACATGGGTCAGAGGGACCTTGACAGGCTGGAGAAATGTGCAGACAGGAACCTCATAAAGTTCAACAAAGGGAAGTGCAAAGCCCTGAACCTGGGGAGGAATAGCTCTGTGCACCAGTACATGCTGTGGGCCAACTGGCTGGGGAGCAGCTTGGCAGAAAAAGACCTCAGGGTCTTTTTGGTCTTAACACAAAGTTAAGCGTGAGCCAGCAATGTGCCCTTGCAATAAAGAAAGCCAATAGCCTCCTGGGGTACATTAGGAAGAGCACTGCCAGCAGGTCAAGGAAAGTGATTATTCCCCTTTATTCAGCTCTGGTGAGACTACATCTGGAGTGCTGGGTCCAGTTCTGTGCTTCTCAGTACAAGAGAGACATGGACATACTGGACTGAGTCCAGCAAAGGGTCATGAAGATGATTAAGGGATTGGAGTATCTGTCATGTGAGGAGAGGCGGAGAGAGCTGAGACTGCTTAGACTCGAGAAGGCTCAGGGCATGCTAGGAATGTGTATAAATGCCTGATAGAAGACAGTAAAGACGATGGAGCCAGACTTCTCAGAGGTATCCAGTGAAGGAACAAGAGGCAATGGTCACAAATTGAAACTCAAGAAATTCCTTTTTAACATAAGAAAAAACTTCTTTGCAGTGAGGGTTGTCAAATACTGGAACAGGTTGCCCAGAGAAGTTCAGGCATCTTCATCTTTGGAGATACTCAAAACTGGACAGAGTATCCTGCTCTAGCTGACACTGCTTAGAGCTGAGGTTTGACCAGATAGTCAATGGATGTCACCTCCAACCTCAACTATTCTGTGATTCTATGATTTCAGATGGAGCCTAATAAACATAAGTTTAGAAGACCCAAAAAGGGAAGTAGCTTTGTTCTTAGTTTTCCAAAGTATATTGAGGGTAATGCTAGCTATTTAATCCAGCAGCTAGTTCTGAGAGCTTTGACAATAAAGGCCTTGTTTTCAAACTGCAGCAATCAATATTAGGCTCCTAAAATATATGTATTTATTTCCTAAATCTAATTTTAAGGATCTCTGAGGATTTTCTTTTCAGTGGGACCTCAGAAGTTAAGAAACACAGTTCCTACTTCTTTAAGTTATTGATTTTCAACACTTAAAATTTTGAAAGCACAGGGCAAAATCAAAAGAACAAAAGAATACTAGACTACTAATTTGTTCCCATTGCCAGAGGATGCTGCTGTTTAAATAGATACCCCACACAGATATGCCCCCTACAACAACCACATGGGTTAGTGAGTTTTTCTTGGGAGGAAGAGGAAGAAGAAGAACAAGGCAAAGAGATTACGATTTTTTATCTTTTTAACTAATCTTCAGGACCCAACAATAATCAGTGTTTACTTAATAAAGGTAGATTTTTAAGCATGCTTGAGTAACTTGGGAACTTTTACTACCTCTGCAACTTTTGCTCCCAAAACTTTTTAAGACTCTTTCAAAATTCAGTCTTTGGTCATCAAAGGGCACAAACGTGAAATACCCCACCTTACTAGCTGTTCTCATATAGCCTGCTGAAATTCAAGTTGATTACATGATACATGAAAGTCAAAAAATGGAATAGTGGAAGATCAGTCTCACAAACAGGCTGTGGTGGGAAAAATGGGCTCTTAGTAGTTTAAGAAATCAATACCAACTTTGACGCTTTTAGAGGTGGCAACATCAACGGCCATGGCTTTGATTTCAGTGTCCCCAAACTGCATAAGTGTTTTGATCTCCCGCCGGTTTGGCACTGAAGCATCAGTTCCCGTGAGATCCAAGCGAAGGGTGCCACACTTCTTCACTCCAGATTCGGTGATGAAGCTGACATTATCTTGTTCTGAGCTATAGATATTGATCACTATTACTAACTGAGAAGGTTTGGCAGGTGTGTAACTGCGTGTTACAGTTTCTCCAAGAGCTACAGATTGGTCAGCTGAGATAAATTTGTCAAAGACATCAGTGCACCAGCGTGTGCCATCTTTGATTAGAAGCTTCTCTGGTGGATGCTTCCCTTCCACAAACCGATTGAGCACACCCACACCATAGGTGAGAGGTGAACGCCGCACTTTGATGACAGCAGGGTCTAGACCAAAGAGAACAGCTCCTTTGAGGATAGTGAGCCCCACATCCTGAGGAATGATGACTCGACACCTCGAACCAAAAGCGCTTTGGACAGCTTGTTGGAGTAAGGGGGATTCAGCGAAGCCACCCACCAGGAACAGAAACTTGACACTGGTCACTTCTGGCTTATCAAACACATCACCTAAACAGAAACAGAGCCCATTCAATAGGGAAAAATCCACTGTGACAAGGCAATGCAGGTGAAACTCCTAATGTCTGAGTGCACTGAATGTCCCATGCACTTGCACAAGATCTGAAACTGCCACATCTATGCCCACACTGCCACTCTCAGCATGCACTAGTTCCACTTCTGCAGTCTCTTCTATACTCTATTTCACTGTGAATGGAAACTTACCTCAAAGCATACAGTATTTCTGAAGTGGCACTTAAAACAGAATTTTTATTTAGCTTCTACCGGTAAAGGGAGACACGGATTTCTTGCAAAGAAATCCTGCCAGTCACACTATGGGTGGTAGGGAAACAGACGTCATCTTGCCACTTCAGGTACCAGTAAGATATTCCCAAACCTAACTGTTTCACATACCCTTTATTGCTTTCCAGATAAGTCACCCCATTTTAAATTCACTTCATTATTTCTGACCCTAACATCTTAACTGCAATATGTACCATCTGCAAAATAATACATTTTTAGCTTCCTTCTTAGCTTAAGCCCACATCCCCTACTTTCAAGAAAATCATACAGTTCAGTTGTAGGCTCACCCTTATTAACCGAGGTAGCATGACTGAGGTATCTGTCACTATTGTAATTTTAGACCTCCACCTCCCTGCTCACATATAAGCTGTTCTGTACTAGCTGTCCAATTTGTGGCCTCTCAAAATTTATCTAATAATTCCTCACATATAGTGAGTAAAGCTGGATATTCCACTCCAAATACAATTCAATTAGTGCTTTGTAATGTGTAGAACAGCAATACTTTGATTAGTACATATATTATACTCTACTTGATACAAATCCAATCTTCCACTAGGAAGTTTTTAAATAATAAATTTCCCAATAAGCCTATGTCACTTCCCATTACTGGATAAATAAATTCAGTGCTGCTTAAGCCACACTTGGAAGTACTTTTACCATGATGCATCATTTATTATTTGTGTTTTAGAGATGTGAGTGATTTGGACGGTCATGAACAAATGTAGCTTTGTAAGTCCTTCCACTGAGCAGAAATGAGCTAGAGGTCTTAATAACAGGAATAATCAGAAACTAGTTACATCTCTGGCCTTATTTAGTTGTTGCCTGAAACAGGAAAAAGAAAAGCAGGATCTGGGTTAGTCAGTGCTTTTCAGCCTTCTGAATGCTTGCAGCCCTGGAAGTACAGAATAATTGAAGCTTAAGCAGTAACAGGACTGAATCACTCTCAATAACTAGTACTAGGAACTAGGTAGGAATACGTGTTAAGGTGATGTCCCTTACTTCTATTATTTTTCTAACTACTTTGTAGAGAGCTACAAGTTTCAGAACTAAATTCCTTGCCCACATTTGATGCGTACTAGGGGGGGTTGTTTGACTTTAATTCCAGTTACTGGTTTGAAAGAGGTGAGCAAAGCTTCAGTTTCAGCTCAGCTGCAAAGTGGAATTACACATAGATACGTACTAAGGTGCTGAACAATCTGGTCAATTGTAGGTTTGAAAAGAGCATTCATTGCATCCGGGCTCATCCTCAGCATTCCCTGGGAGGACCACTTCACAAAGTCCACACTGGAAAAGAACAGTTAGAAAGGACATTAAAACATTACAGCTGAGCTGTAAGCAAAAACCAAGCACTTACAAGACACACTACATAAATAAGCGAATGAGTTTACAGAATGTGCATGCATTTTGCTTGGAAGAAAATGCCTCACCTCACCCTAGCCCCATACCAACTGCAGCAATGTAAAATTTCAAGGGAGAATTGTTATTTTTCCTTGTCTAATTGTTGTTTTCTTTGCCTGATTGCCTTCTGTAGCATTACTAATGCTCAGTTGCTTCCTGAAACAGCTGGCAGTCAATCCATGCTCGCTCATCTGAAACAGCATTGATTCATTCCCAGAAGGGCAACATTTAGATTATAGCAGTAGCAGGCCAAAGCTACTGGAAACACACAAGGAACACAAGCAAGTATGGGAAGCCTCAGGAGGCAGAAGGGAGCACAGCATTTTTAATGAGGCATAACATTTGTTAAGTGAATACAGGCATTATGTTATTCCATCACTGATGCACATCCATATAGCTCAGTAATCTCCTTTTCATTCACGCACATTATATGTCACCTTCATACTCTTTCTAACCCGTTATCCAATTAATTTCATTTTACTTGAAGGGAACATTTAGCATTCCCTCTAAGATTTACCATTGAGACTATTAATAAGAAGGAGATGGTCTTGTCAGGGGGAATATTTCCAGAAATTTTTAATGATTTCAGGACCTCAGTCTCATTTAGGAAGTGACTCCAAGCTGGATGCCAAGTCATTTAGGCTTAAAGTACATTTACCAATAACTTTAGGAAGAGATGCAGGAGTAGCCTGCATGCTACATTCAACATTCACTGGATTAAAAAAATGCAGAAAGAAGCGAAGGTACAGGTACTAAATATCATGTCTTCTGCTCTCAGGTCCCAAGCATTCTGCACCAGATTTGCAGGCTCTCTTGCTCATTCTCTTTGATGCCATTAATCTCCAGGTCTCCTGTAGTATATAACTTCAAAAGATGCAAAATGCCCACTTCTACTTTCTCCTCACTTCCTTTTGTGTAGCAGCCTGTGACCTTGTCATTTATGGTGCTTTCTTGATACTTACAATCAGCAATTAAAATCTCTGCAGGGAATTATATCTCTCCACCTATTAAGCAAATGATCTAACTGTAACATACTAGGAGAAAAGAAAGCTTGCCATCACTTCAAAAGGAGAATGCCTTCCTCTTGCAGAGCTCTATGCAATAGTATATGTTTTCACCGGTGATCTTGTATTGTTTATAATTTTCCTCAAGTCATGAATATACTTACATATCTCACTCAAGATCTTGGATTTGTTCCAGGGCCCAGGCCTCTAAAAATTAAGGTTCTAGGTAACTAACTTTTAGACATCAAATTCTGTATTTGATCTGACCTTCCTAATTAAGACGTAAGAGACCCAAAATACATTGTCAAATTCAGGAAAGTGACACAGTGGTGGCCTAGCGAAAGCCATAGAAAGCAACACCAGGAGAGTGCAAGTCTTGTATAGAAAAGCTTTTGCAAGAGATTGATACAACTTTTCATTCTGGAAACTGCACTTCAGGCAATCCCATTTTCTCATCCTTATATTACGTTTTTACATTATTATCTTTCAGTCTACATGTAATTAGGATATTTTAATTATTTGTCTTTGCTATCAGTAGTTAATTCAGCATCCATTTGGGTTCAATCGTCTACTCACTTGCTTTTCCTCAAGGCATGTTCTACACTATGACCTCGAAACTTCTTGTAATAGTCAATGAAGGAGAAAGGCAGAGTGATGTTTAGTGGATTGGTCCTGTCTGGAGCTGCTGCCCGTTTACGGGACTCAAACGCTATCATCAGATCTACCCAGGCAGCAGGACGTTTGATTTTGAATTGCTCAATAAAATCTTCTCCAAATATTTTACACAGGAGCTTTTCAAATTCATAGTCCACACCTAGAGAACCATATGGTCCACCTGTATTACAAACAAAACACAGCTTTAACATTCTGATTTCAAGTTGACCAAATACACATCAGTTTGACACTACTAGGACTGCCATAGGAGAAGGTCTACAGAAAGAGGTATCTTTTCTAAATATAACAGTTGGTCTAATACAGAACATAATCTTATCTTTGCTTCACTTTTACTCCTATACCATCATAGCCACTGTAACATTACCACTATAAAACAGAAACATTTTTATTAGAAGCAAAGGAAACTGCCTCCTTACCCACACATGAGAAGGTGTGAGTTGGACTCATATTCAGGAGTAGATAGACTTGATGTACAGTGTCCCATTTGCTCTTACTAGGTTGTTTCCTGAGGTAGTCTTACAGCCACCAAGGCTGAGAACGCTCAGTGATGAACCATACAGACGAAGACTAACTCAGTATGGAGACACAGGAACAAATAATAGGCTGTCTCATGTGGGTAACAGCTTAGTCACGGGACAAACTCAAAGGGCATCTGGAGTTCAGGAAGGGAATACCATTCAAGGAATTGCACTTTATATCTTTGCTGCGGACCAGTCATTGTGCATTTTTCCCAGGGGATTGTAGACCCTCCTTGTTACACTGTGTGTGAAATTACTGGGACATATATATGCTTCCCCTTAAATCTAGGAAAATTCTGTTCTGCCAACAGCCACTTTACAAGGATCTTGTTGTGACACTCAGCTATTCATATCTCCACAGTACATCTCTGAATACCTGGACAGAGCAGCAATACACAGGTGACCTCTCAAAGGACAGGAAAATGACGACTCTACTAGCAGAAGTCAGACCAGGACCACAGCAGGAGGTCATGGCCTGAACAGGAGTGAATAACACAGGAGATGGCAGTTGCTTACCCTTCCAACGTAAGGTTTACCATCCCAAAGCATCAGAAGCATTAAGTGATTTACCCTTGTCTGCTGACCAGCAGCTAGGTTATATTAATTTTGAATGCTGGTCTTATTTCAGGAAGGACTGTTAGTGAAATGTAGTGAACAATACAGGCATACATTTCCTTCACTGACAAGTATAAATATTACATAAATAAAGCAAGCAGTGGAAGTGACATTACCTGTTGCTTTGTATAGCTCCTTAAGATGTCCTTCAGGGAGCCTTATCTGATGGACAGTCATATCCACTGTGCCTCCTCCACTGTCAACAACGATGTAACGGTCACCTAGGAACAGGCAAATGATATTTACATTAACATTATCACAACAGTGTATTGCAATGAAAACTTCTCAGGGCCATATCACCATGAAAGTTAATGACTTACAGAAAGTCATGAATGTCTATGCTGAACACTTGAACTTTTTTGGTAATTGTAATGCAATGATAGACAATAAATACGAAAATCAGATGTCAAAAGCTATTGATTTAGCACAGATGAAAAGTGGTTTAGTAGAATTGTTCATGCTGCTAGTGTACATTCTAGTAGGTTATCAAATTAATACTATGGCATATTTACAGGGCCTATTCTAAGGAAAATATTCTGTTTGTATTTTAACACCTGGATTCCTTTCTACCATTTCCTTAATAAACTGTATTTTGCTAGAGTATATAGAATAGCAGTTCAGCCTTAGTAACTAAGAGCAGCACGTGAACTTGTATTTTTTGATTTTCCTATTTATAACCACTGTGAGAACAATGCAGTGCACAGCACATTTGTGGGAAACAAAATGTTTGCCTGCAGTATAAAACCAATGAGAGCAAAGTTATTCAAGAAAGGACACTACCTTCCTCCAGTTCGGACCAGATCTCTCCTATGACATTTTCCACCAAAAAGGTACGACTCTGTCGATTACGACGGATGTGTTCCTTAGCTAGTCATTGACAGAGAAAAAAATTACTGAGTATAAGAAAGCACGAAGAAGTTGATATCATAAGCTGCAGGAAACAAGTGCAAGCAGGCTGACAGATCTGTCTGTATCACTTCTTAATGAAAGAAATGAACAAAAATTATTGTATTAGAATCGGGAACATTATAACATTGTTCCTAGAAAGAAGGAAAAATGTTTTTCAGCCACACTGATCTTCCTTGATACTAACTGGATTAAAACCAATAATCTAACATGAAAGCTATAAACAGGTCTGATTTTTTTTTTTTTTTATATTCTGGTTTTTAAAGCACTTCCTGGAATCAGGCGGGCTTGCAGCCAGCTGTGCTTGGCGTAGCCCCTGCCGCCAGGCGGCAGCCCCGGCCCGCTGCCAGACCCACCTGCACGCCCGGGGCCGGGGAGACAATCCCCACGTTTCAAAAGCCACTGCTCATTTTGGGTGCTCAGGCAAAGACGCCTCCTGAGCCTTTCAGGATGTCGATCTGTCTCAAAACAAGCAGCCAAAAGCACTGTTTCTCAGATTTATAACTTCTTAAGGCCACAGTGATCACCAAGTCTGACCCTCATAATATTTTAAATATACACCAATTAAAAATAAAGCATAATCTAGCAATATTATAAAAATAAGTTAACTTAAAGACTTAATTGCTATTTAGACATTTAAAAGATGCAGAACAGTCTGTGAAGAGAGAGCAGAGTAGTGAGAGCCTTTGCTATTATGCTTCTTAATCAACCCCTACAACTGCATGATCAAAAAATCATTCCCTGTGTAACCTTCACTCACCTCCAAAGGCACTTGTATGAAACGCTACAGAAGAAGAGAGGCATCCTGTCATGCATGAAAATATCATTCTTTCTGAAAACGTCAGCATGCACATCACTGAATGCCTTTTGCTTCTTGTTTCTATAGTGCCTCTCATCAGAAAAAGACCAGCGGCTCCACTTGCACCCATACTCTCCCCATGAAGACCCCATGATGCAGACAAGCCGTGTCAGCCTCGCTGTGCTGACTTAGCAGCACACAGTGAGAGCTTAAACGACGAAGCATTCAATGACAGAACAAGCACTAGGTCCAAGCAAGGGCCTGACACAGAGCCCACACAAGTCAATGGGAGTCCTTTCATTCACTCCTGTGGGCTAGAAGTGAACGCAAGAGCCAGTCTTAACTATAACTGGAGTAAGGTTATCCTGGCTACTATGAACAGTAAAATTTTTGTTTTGACTCAGAGCAATAATATGGTCCTTGGAGTGCTTCTCTCTGTTTATATTTAAAGGATTTTTCTCCTTAATCTGTTCTCAGCTTGTCTTGGGTGCCTGCCATGCCTTTATGAAATTTTAATTCTAACCCCAAATTAATTCACTCCAAACTTTGTTTTCATTAATTTTGACATGAAACCTTTCTCATCCCCAACAGCTTTTACCATACAAGGTCAAGAAGGAGAATGGTACCCCCTATCAAAAAAAAAGCCCATTAGCAGAAATCCATGATCTGCCAGATTCTGCCTAGCTTTAAAACCTTAACCAGAGAAACTCTCTTCTTTTATTATTTTCCCAGAGGCAAATCCCTGTGTAGCCTGAAAGTGAGTTCATGTAAAATCGCATGGAACTGGAATGGTTCAGGACACAAACGAGGGGGACGGAAGGCGAGGGGCCCCTGAAGGGACTGTGTCCTGAAAAGGGATTGTGTCCTGTGCTCTGCGTGGGCCTTCGTAACACTGAACACATCTGACAAGTGCTGGCTAGGAGAGGCACGGATATGAGAGAATGATGTAGTGCCTCCACCTAACTGAAAAAAAAAATACCCTCCGGTAAGTACAGGAATAGCTTTACCAGCTTAATCTTCCATTTGCCTGTACTCTTTTGACCTAGTAAATGTGATAAAATACAAGTTCTTCTGAAAAATTCCTTTTGGGATAGATTGGCACACTACCACCAATATCAGTGCAACAGTTACAGTTCACACAAACAGGAAATCTGTACATTATGCAGCAATCACATCTCACTGCTTCTTCATTTTCCTTTTGTGTTTTCTCTCCTATTTTCCTCCAATCTCAGGTAAGATACCCAAGCTCAAAAATCTTTGGTGACGAAGGATCTTTTGGCAATTGACTTACACTGTGGTCCAATCTCTGTCCCTCATTGTAAGTCAGTCTTCAAACATGAATATTAGCAACAGATCTCAAGTCAATAAATCAGAAGTGCTGTATCTAGTTGCTCTTCTATAAGCAGATAAATTCCTTGCTTTATTCCAATACTGTGTGTTCCCCTGCGTGTTGACAGTAATTAATGATATTTCATAAAGATGACATCAAAAAGCATCTGCCAAAATTCTGGAACACCTCAGACTAAATGTCTCATTGCAGATCCAATTGTTTAACACTGCTTCAATAATGCAGCTAATCCAACACATAATTGTTTCCAACAAATTAAATTAAAAAAATGATCCAACATGAAGTATTGATTTTTAATTAAGGCAAAAAAAAACGGTTGTGAAAATACTAAAAGACTCCCACAACATCCCAATAAAGCCAAGGCAAAGAAGCTACCTGTGTTCTAAAATTTAAGTCTGTGCAAACATGCCTGCTGGATCAATGCCTAAACTAGCCTAATTACAGTAAACAGCGAAACAGTTTATAAAATCGATGCTAGTCTGAAACGTTTCACGAGGGCAAAGACAACAAGAGTTGGTAAGAAAACAGCCCTCATGGACAAAGCAAACTTGGGCATAAGAATCTAAAGAAGTGAGTTAATAGAAGTAGTACCCTGTGTAAATCCAGTTCCAATAGTGTCACTTGGGCTATAACCATTGACAGGTGCCCTACTACTCAGGTCTATCATCTGGTGCAGGCGGAGCTTTCGGCAGTAGATAGAGGCAGCCTCGGGTTCCAGGGCAATGATCAACTGCTCGGGATTTTCAGGAGATGCCATTCCTGCCTGCGAGAGAGAATCGATCAGAGAAGTGGGGTGGGAAATACCGCAACCTATCAGACCGTTTTCAGCAATTGAACAAGCTTTTCCCCAGCTCGTGGTTTCAGACAGGTCAGCCCTCCGAGTTCAACGCGCGAAGGAGCTGCTGCCATTGGCTAAAGGTCTTGATCTGGGAATCGTCCTGCCCACAATGTATAGCAAAACTTCACAGGCTGTAACAGGGAAGTATGCATGCACTTACCATGCTAAGTGTCTAACCAAGCAGCTGTGTACATGACAGGTGGAGAAAGGAGGAAAGTCATTTTGAAACCTGTGATGAATGGCCTAAAACCTGAACTCCTAATTAACCTGTGAATCTGCATGCTAAGAGGGGCCCCAGTCTGCTTTAAAAAATGAAGGAGTACCTTTGGCCTCTCCTCCCCACAACGACATTTTAAGTATGTCTTTCTTTATATCCCAGGTATATTTAGTCCTTGCTGAAATGGACCCTCTCCGCACTGTGTAGCTTACTAGGAATATATGATACACTTGCCAGTAATGCATCTTTTGACTTAAAACAAATATTTTCTATTTCAAAATCCACTGCTTTTAAGCACATTCATTTTTATAACATCTTCAAAATGCTCAGTTTGTTCAAGGACTCAAAATACAATAGGGCAAGTTCCCAAAAATGTAATGGGAACAAGCCTAAAAATAATCCCACATTATAAAATCAACATTTGCCATTCTTTCTATTTTCTCTCTGGATTTTCAGCCTCCAGACACATAGATTTTCAAGAAGCCACAAGTTCTCATGTAACCGCATCACTCTCAGAGCTGGGCTTAGAGAAGAATATCAAAGAGCAGTTGACAAAACTGTGTTTTCATTTCTTTTCTCCTTACTTCTCCCTACTGTATGATTTTCTGTTAAAATAGATAAAAACATCTTTCAACTCTTTCTGCTCAACTTTTGGTTTACCTGCTGTTGTTTTTCAGTTAAGTGCCTGAGTACGAAAGCATGCTAGCAAACAAATAAAGGTATTAATATTTTTCTGCTTCCACGGTCAGTCTTCCAGCAAACCTTCACTTCAGCTCATACACATGTGGTGGCTCCAGAGCATCCCCAAAAGAAGGCAGACTCACATGGAAAGACTGCGGACCTGGACTGGAATTTGGCTTCCTTCATACAGCCACACTGTGGGCTGTGGGAATTGCTGGCTAGTTTACACCTGCAGCTAGAAACTCAAAGTAAAGCTTGTTCAAAAACCAATACTGGGGTAAGACTTGGAGACATAAAATTGTCCTTCACATTTACTGACTCATTTTATCCTCTCCATCTTAATAAATAAGATACATAGATTTTTACAGAAAGCACCTTCCTCATTGTTGACAACAAAAAAAGAAAAACAACAACAAATAAATTCCAAAATAAGAAAGTAAGGGTTAAACTAATGATGGTTGCTCATTATTTTAAAAGCACACCTCATGATTGGGATTATGGCCACTTTACATCCTTTATTGTTGTTGGGCAAAACCTTGTGCTTTGGTTACATCCACTAGACTCAACAGCATGATCTGAAATTAGTGGAACTGTCCGGGAAGGAGAATACTGTGCAAATGTCACAGAGTATCAAACCTTCCCAGCTATGTGGCAATATGTATTGAAAAAATATTGTACTGAAAAGAATGTTTGCAACCAAACTTTCAAAATTTGGAAAACGCAGATTTACAGCAGCCAGAGTAACCCTAAAAGGTATAAACCAAGCACAGGTCCAAGCCAGACTCTCCTGCCATCATACCACTTGCATGCAAGCATGTTGGCAGGTACAGGCTTAGGTAAAGCTATGGAGCGGTACTGGGGATGAAGATGAAGTTCTTGCATTGTGCCTTAGCATAAACCCAATCCTTCCTCCAACCGGTCTGGATGTACTAGGCACAGGCAGGGCTGGCTTCACACCAGCTCACTTCAACATCACTTATCTCCAGCTGAGCTCTTCTACCCACAAAGCTCTAATTTGTTGCATTGGAAAGGGCAAAAGATATGAATCAATACTTGGTCCCTGACAGATGTTTATCTAATCTGCTAAAGAATTCCAAAAATGTATGGTCTCTGCACACAAACTATCTCAGCCCTTTACCGTCTTTGCCTTTGGAAAGTTTTGCTAAAAGCCTAATCTGAATCTTCCTTGCTGCAACTTTAAGGCCAGCACTTCTTGTCCTATCCAATAAGGACACAGAGAGCAAATAGCTCCCTACCACCCTGCTGCGGTTTTCACATATATTCAGTCCATTATCACATCCTATGAGAGCTCTGAATCTGAGCAGCAAGCCTTTTTTTTTTAATATCCAGCAATGTGGATGAACTTGGTGTGCTCAGCCTACTCCATGTACTGGCCATACGTTAGTAGCACAGACAAAGAAATTCTTAGTCTCGTGTCTAACCGACACACTAAAGAGAAAATTGTATTTTAGGGAAAAAACACTTTGTTGCTAAGGATATTAAAATCCAAAGGCTACATCATAAAGTATTTGCAGAGTGACAAGACCTGAGTTGCACACACAGGCAATGCACTGCTATTTCCTAACTTGAGAGGGGGAAAAAAAAAGATTGTATTAATTGCAAAGTCATCTGTTCCAGAGGGGATTTTAGTACAAATTTCCAAGGCTGGTTCTGCAAAAAGAAAACAGTAAACCATTAACAATAACACTTGCTTCCTCCCCTCCTCCAGCAGTAGTCTGTACTTTTCACATTGCAGCCTGCGTGTCAGGAGAGGAAGGCAGTGACCTGCAGGATGGACTCAGATCCATGTTCTCAGACCTTCCAAGTATAGCAGATGCTATTCTTGCTACTTTTTCTCTCTAGATATTATTTTAACATACTTAAAATACGTCCTGAGGAAAACATTCAACAGAAATGACAGTTTTTAACAGTTCAAAGCACAGCTGATCCTAACAGAATTTCATGAAGAAAATGTTGGGGTTTTCTGTTAAAAAGCTTTCCTTGCAGAGTTTGAAGGGCCAATTACAATGAAGAATGTGTTATTTCACATCATAAAAAGACCATACAGGAATCTTGTACAATGAAAGGTACTAGGCATCCCACATATATATATTTTTATATGTACATATACATATCTGTATACATATATATGTATGGATCAATATTGACTCTATTTCATACCTTGTGTATGCAGTATTTCTACTTAGATCATCAGAGATAGCACATTACTGTACATATATATATATCTCTACACACAGTACAGAGAGAATGGGGGAAGGGGAGATGAGAAAGAAACATGAACACATACATATTGCTGGGAAGGAATGGAGCAATGAGGTCACTTTAATACAAGCTCTGAGAAGATGAAGACTTAGGAGGCGGTACCTCGTCCCACCATTACAGCCGAGGAGAAAGGGACAGATGGAAGAAAATTATCGAGCATGCAGAGAAAGAGGAGTGAAAACAGCAGGCGGTCAACACAAAGAAACAGTGATGCATTCGTTAAAAGTATTAACTGTAGAAGTTTGGGAATTTGCTATATTTTACACTCGTTGCTTTCTATCTGCCTCACTCCATGCCCTCGCCCGCTGCTGCCGAAGTACTGCTGTAACTAAGAAGAGAGATTCACAAGTTAACAGGCTTGAACGGGACAGATCTAAACAATGTCTCGGTATTCAACATTATATAGATCATTCTGGCAGTGGGACAGATGTATCATGTTGCTTTTGCCTAGGGCAGCTTATAGCAGACTTTGTAACAGAACCGTGTCTTACTGTAGTCTGCTAAGGAGATTTTCTTTCTCCCATTATACTCACTAGCAGTATAAACCCAGTCATCACTTATGAAACACGAAGGAAGCAGACAGCAGTTTTCCCAAAAACGCAAACGTGGAAAACCCATCATGGAATTACAAAAATCCTTTGAGCATCAGAAAGTTCTTAAAAAATAATTTATTTGCAGGACATTGCTGCGTTTATACACCTGGAAGAAGCAAAGAACACCATGGAAAGAACTACTTTAAAACACTCCCCCAAACTCACTTTGCTTATATTCTTGAGGACTAGGATTTCATGCTTTGACAAGAGAACTCCCAGATTTTCACTCACTCCAGTAAAACAGGTCTGTGAGCTGGTGCCAGTGCATTGCTGTTCATTCGCCAAGATGCATCACTGACAGCAAACCTCAAAGTGCTTCAAAGCCTCACGTACTGGAGCACAAATAACTTTACCATCCAGATGCAGGTGAATTCTCAACCTGGCACACTAACCCAGAGATGTGTCACCCGATGAGAGCCACAGCTGACCACAAATACATTCTTGATTCCCTCAACAGCATCAGCTGCCAAGCGTCAGACTAATTCATCATTAGCAAATATTGAGGTCTGGACTGAAGCTCAGTATAGCAGTCTGAGCACTTCCAGAGAACTAAACGATATTCACTCATTCTGTACGCAGAATCATCATTACTATAGATTAAAAGATGCTACTTTTAAAACCCAGCCTCGCATGCCACGATGCACAATGGAAAAAGCAATGCAGGTTTATTTTATTTTTTTAAATATTGTAATGTATATGGCCTTAGAGACAGCATTATAGTAGAATATTCCACGTAGTTTGAGCCTTTTTAAAAGGCAATGAAAGCCACAAGGTAGGCCTAGATGAAAAGCTCCTTTCTCTGAAAGCTGCCATAATTAGAACTGTTAGCATTTAGCTGGTGTACTTCTGTATTTCATAACACAGCCAGGCAGAATGCTGTTGCTCTATCAGGCTTTAGTTATTACACCTCGGAAGGAATAGCATATTAGGAAATACGCCATCACTGACAAGGTACACGTTTCCTATTACTATCCTTTCAAACTATTCAAAGCAAAAGTTAGATCTCCTTTTCTGCTTTTTCAGAGAGATACATCAGGCATCTTTTTACAGGCAAGCAAAAAAAAAGCCCCACCACTGACTCGTAACACAAGGAACATGCCTTACGTGGAGTGCACCCATTTCTTTGAGCTATAAAACTGATTAAAAGAACT